CGGCGAATTTAAAGCTGAGGGATAAAACTACTCCTAGTCGCTTCATGCTACTGAAACCGGAGATAAGTTAGCGCTGGCCTGATGGGCCACTTGGCTCGTATGCAGACTTTTTTATATATATATTTTCATGAATATAACAGACTGAAAATAACTCTGTACTGTTCCACCACAAATAAGATTACTTTCAGGGGTAATCTGTCAAATAAATGAAAATTAAGACTTTGACTGATGACGGTAAATTATGGGAAACAGTCCAGGAGTTTTTATCCAAAAAACAAACAAACTCCTAACCTGGTCTAAGTTTGCCAGTGCGTCAAAGCAAGGTTTAGGTACCAGATCCCTCACGTACAGTAATGGATTTTGAACGATAACCTCCAGCGGCTCATGAAGTCTGACTCGGCACAAGTCCACATCGAGGGATGCGTACAATCGCTCGTGAAACCTCAGCTCGGAGTTGTAGAGAACATTGAACTTCGTGATATCTGAAGGAATTGAACAAAAACGCTGTATATAAACGCTGTGTATAATGTATCTGATAAAGTGCTTTTTGATCAACTGTCGTAAAAATAATGCTTTCGCTTGTCAACAATTTTACGGCTTCCTGAAATAACACTTTGTCCTTTCGGATAAGCTAATTGAGAGACGTTTCGGGTACGGCCAAAACGTTCCCCTCAATACTTTTTTCCCAGTTAATCAAGTGCAAAACCAATAATAGTTCCATCGTCTTTTTCCAATCTAGCCTGCGAGAGCATCCAGTTTTTTCGGGTCTTGCTCTCGAAAAAAACTGATGCTCTCGCAGATTATTTCGAATTACACGCAAAAGCGAAACAATCATAACCTTCAGCAAAATCCTCATGCAGTTTTATAACTTTTCGCAATACCTTTTCTGTAACGTAACTACATTTTTACAAACTCTATGACTTCAACCCTTACCCTCTTCCTGTGGCCTAGGTAGTTTCTCCCATAGTCTTCTAATGCCCTTTTCGGCCAGGCCTTCTAGGACAAACATGTGATACTGGCCATCCAAAACCTGTTGAATAAATGTAACAAAGGTCAAATATTTCCATAATAAAATATCAGTTTTAAAATCGAAGGTAAAATATCTGTATGTACCAACTTAATTAAGGGAAAATTTCTAACCAAAACGCAAATTTTTAAGTTACACAACTAACAAAAAGGAGAAGAACGTAGAATCACCTGGAATCCTGTTATAATGTCCAGTTGCTTGTTTTTTCGCTGTTCTCTGCAATTTAGCAATTAAGTTAATATGTGTTAGTGATCAACCAACGCAAGAATGCACACGAGTCATTCTACGAGCTGGTCTATGCGTCCGCGTCCATTCAATCCTGTTAACTCAATATTTTCGCGCTTTTATTTGAGAAAACTGTTACTGCTATGTGACAAAACGACAAAACTCTTCATTCTCTTCATTCTCGTTCAGCCACGACTACTTACCTTGACAGTTTGTATGTTGACAAAGCAGCCTCGATCACATGTTGAGGTAACGTGTCTAGTTCCAGTGCCTCCGCATTCACGGCAGTGATCTCAGATTGTAATTGCCGGAGAAAAGGAGCATTCCTGTATTCGAATATGTAAATCACACGACCAAACGGACACTATAGAAAGACGAAACACGAAGGTTATAAAAGGACAAACACAAATATCGCGCCTGTCGTCTAACAATCTGAAGAACTGCTAGTTTAAAGAATATTAGTCAGACACGCTCTTGCTTGACCTTTCTTCTTTGAAAGTCAACAACGACGTGGATTTTCCCGCGCTTGGCGACGCTCAATAGGCGCGGGTTGCACAATTTTGTCGGTTCGTAATCTGATTGGTTCA